TATACATATAAATCAACAAATAAAATCATTTCGGAGAGTAAAACATTCCAGGAAGGAAATAAAATAAGGTGATGTGGCAGTGGGTGGCACTCTTTTATCATAGCTGTGATAAGTCCTTTAATCAGGTCATAATTTAAGATCGGTAAAATGTGAAGAATAATACAGAGTGACCAGATGGTCTTGCAAGTCTCCTTCCAATGCTAAGATCTGTTTTTCTCTCTAATTTACTTTTAGGAATTGCAGACAAGGAGCAAAAAAGAAAAGAAGAGCTAAAAGCAGAAAGCAGCAGCATTAAGGAGAGATGGGTTCAGAGATGGGTCTGACAGCTAACAGAAGAAAATTGTTTGAGTAGAAATACACACACACGGATGTATGTGTGCATGTGTGTATTTATGTAATAGTGTTAGCACTGTAGCCAATTATATTTTCTTCCTTTTAAAACTTTCCCTTAGAATATTATCGAAAAAGTGATGGTCCATTGTTTTGTTTGTTGTTCTTTTTAAGATTTAAAAGTGTGTTTCCAGAAAAAAATTCCTCCTGTAAATCACTAATTGGATAATTTACTCTATCCTAACACACAAGCTTTGTTGCTGTTAAGCACTGCATACCAGATTTTTCCCTTTACAGAAATTTATGTGACATGGTATTTAATTCTCTGGAACATTTCCACTCTGTTCTGGAGTACTAAGTTGTTTTCTTTTTCTCCTCCAGGTGCAATATGGGTTGATAACAACCAGAAGCTAACTTGTCAGTGCTGTGCTTCTACTTGAGTTTGGAAAAATACCAACACAAACAAACACCACAACCGCCATCACCTCCAACTCCATCATGATGTATTATCTTCTTCCGCCTGCATCGCTTTCTCAAGGCCCTTATATATTTAATGCATAATATTGACCTGTTTTCCAGAAACTGTTCCTTCATTAAGGGTTTTCCTAATCTTTTATGCTATGCTATTTGCCAAGGTCTTTCTTTTGGTTTTCACTTATTTCTCTCTATAAAACTAAAAGAGAGGTCTTGAATTTGGGTAAATTTCGAGTAGCTCATTTTTAATTTTTCTGTTTGGAATCAATGCCTTCTCTTATATGAGGAAGTCTTTAAATGTATCTCTTTTGTTTTTTTTCAGATTTCATTGTTTTATTCCTTTGCTTCTATTTCAGATAACATTGGTCTTGATTCAATTTAGTTCCACAAATATTGATAATCTACAACATGCAAACTATTCACATAAGCATCACTTATAAAAATGAAAAGGCAATTACCGTTGCTACTATGCTGCTAGTAAAGGTTGACCACTTTTTTACAATTAATAAAGTGGCCTCACCTATGTTTTCTCAGTTAATAATAGCATTAAATAGGTATGACAGACAGGATTCATTTTTTAAAATTTCTATATTAATTGAGCATTCATTGTTCTAATAATAAATGGAGCAAAATATATCTGACATCATAAAAATTTCTTTTGTAAAATAATAACTTTCTGAGTATATTTTTTATAGAAGTGTAATTGACATACAACATTATATTAGTTGAAATGGATAAAGGAATTCAAGATCAAATTATCACAATTTACCACTCATAACATAAATAAGTCACGGGGATTCATTTTATAGATTGGGAAACAAGAGTCTAGAGAAAATAAGTGACACTCAATGAAGAAATATTCTACCATGCCCTTCTACTAGCATATGATCTGTATAAGAAGCAGTAATTTTTAGAATAGAAAAGCTGAGGGTCTCCCTGGTGGCGCAGCGTTTGCACGCTGGGCTGCGAAGTTGCCCGCAGCCTCTGCAGCGCCAGTTCGATCCCCGGCTGCTCCCCGGCCACTGGAGGAGGGTTCCGCATGGAGTGCAGACCTCTCCTGCTGCCCGCTGCTCCCCTCAGCAGTGTATTTTGTCAGTCTGCCTGTTCTGTTCCCCACTCTGGCTCTGATGAATTCTCTCACGCTCCAGTGCTTCTGACTGTACCCAGTGCTTGTATAAATAAATAAATAAATCTTTAAAAAAAAAAAAAAGAAAAGAAAAGAAAAGCTGATTCTCTTTAGAACCATAGACATTTATAGTATCTTCTCAGAGTATCTTTTAGATGTAAATGCTTTACATTTCAGACAGAAAGCACAGGAAGATCATTTCGATAACCAGAACAGTCAGGAGAAGGAGAGTCTGAGTTCGACTTGAAGTCTTTGACATTGACTTCAAACTCAAGTCACCTATGACCAAAAAAGAAGCAAATTTGAAACTTTTTAAAAAAAAAGTGTTTGACTCATTTAAAAATATTTTTTGTAGTTATTCAGTCGTGCTGTGTGTCTCCCTGATACACAGGAGGAACACGTGCTATTATTAAACTTCTGCATGCCTTTTGCTCTTCTCAATCTTCCTGATACTCATTTGATTATTTGCCAACCTAAAAGAACCCAGAGGGATATGGGATTAATTCCCTTGGGTTCTGACAATTTGGCAAGTTAGCCAGGAGACCTATCAGATGCCCGGACCTGCTTCTTTCCCCAAGATGGCCACAGGAGAGCTGAACATACTGGCAAGTAAGGTAAAAACTTTACCACGAGACACTCCTGGTCCTTCCCCCTGCAGAAATCTAATGGAAACCAAGTGGTGAGAAATTTTTAATTTCTCTAAGTTTATAATGGGTAAGAAAAAATATTTTCAGGTAAAATAGTTCATTGGTATTGTGATTTTTTTTTTCACTTTAAAAGACTCCATCCTTATTGCTTAACCAGGAAGGTAATTTTCTGTCTCCTATTTCTCTGTTAAGACTTTTCAAACATCATTGCTTGGTCTCAGATGAATAAGGTAGGACTTTTCTCTCCCAAGGCTTTTTGAAAAGTGGGACTGGATATTGGTGAAGCTAGGTTTTTTTTGTAATTCTTTAACCTTGAAAACTTAGTTCTTAATGTTGGTTGATTCACTGATTTTTGTTTCTCCATTGCGTTTTGAGAAGTGAGTTTTGTGAGTGAGTTTTGCATGTGTGTTGTTGGTAGAATGTGTTATGTGCTGTTTTGTGACATGTTTTTCCTACTCAAGGTTTGGAATGGTTTCAGTCTTGGGCCCTGGAGATTTTAACAGCAGTTAAATGGAACACTTTTTCTGGCATGTAGTAAACTTAGTTTTCTTCTATATTGGAAACTTTGATATAAAAGTATATATATATTTTTTAATAGAGGCATGTTTTATTTATTTATTTGTTTGTTTGTTTGTTTATTTGTTTTGTTTATACATGCGCTGGGTACAGTCAGAAGCGCCGGAGGGTGAGAGAATTCACCAGAGCCAGAGCAGGGAGCACAGCAGGCAGAAGGACCGAAGTACACTGCTGAGGGGAGCAGCGGGAGGCAGGAGAGGTCTGCGCGCCATGTGGGACCCGCCTCTGGTGGCCAGGGAGCAGCTGGGGATTGAACCAGCGCTGCGGGCAGCTTCGCAAACCAGAGCTCAACCGCTGCGCCACTGGGGAGGCCCTAACAGTATATTTGATATCAGATGATTTCCCTAGTAGGTGGATTACAGGGAAACTGAACAAAAGTTCAGGAAAAAGACAAAATTTGCAGGCAAACCATAGATTTGAGGTATATAGTAGCAGCAGGGGAGGGAGAGGGATCAAAACAGGGGAGGGAAGAGCCCTAAGGGATATGGGGATTCTCTGGGGAGAGAATTATGGGGACTACATGTGAGGGGAGAAATCAAATATTGTACAAAAATAAACAATAAAAATAAGTGGATTAGAGATTGACCCCCCTCCCTGCCCTGCTTACAGGAGAAAACTGCAAGCCCCAATGGGTAACTCCATTTTTAATCTATTCTTTTATCTCTACTCAACTAGTTCCCCAAATCTCTCAATGAGAAAATTAAAGTTTTACTAAGTTTAATAATGAATGAATTTATTAAATAATTAGTTCATTCTGACTGAAATTACTGAAATTTTAGTTTTTTCAGTCCTTATTGTAAGGAAGCTAACAAATTTAATGTTTTTAAGTAAAATGTGCCTTTGGTCACCTAGAAAAATTGAAGCATGAGTGTGGGTTTTTTTTAAAGATTTATTTATGCATACAAGAACTGGGGTACAGGCCAGAGATGTGGGGGGTGAGAGGATTCACCAGAGACAGAGTAGGGAACAGAACAGACAGACTGACTGAAATACACTGCTGAGGGGAGCAGCGGGTGAGACAGGAGAGGTCTGCTGTGCCATGTGGGTAGCTCCTTGGCTGGGGATTGAATTTGTGCTGCAGTGGCTGTGGACAGCTTCATAGTGCTGCAACTTAAACCCTTATGCCACCAGGGAGGCCCTGAAGCTTGTGTTTTATACATTGTTAAAAGTCATTTGTAAGTCTTTCCATTTAAAAGGATAATGTTAACAGTTTTTATAATTGCTTACAATCTAGAAATTAGGAGCTTAGGGTAATTAAGGGTGAAGAGTTCTAATTAAGGTGTAAAATTAAGGGTAAAGGAAAGGTGGAAACTCTGTATGTAAAGATAGTATGATGTGTACTTGTTGAGTTTAATGCCAGGAGACAAACTTCCCTAATCTTATACATAATTTTTCCCCATTTTATTTGTTTTCCACCTCTGTCAAGTGGAACACGGGGTGAGACTTTTGGTTTGAGTTTTAATATACTTTCCTCCTTCCCCAATTTAATATCAAGTGATCAAATTCAATCTTGAGTAAGCCAAATTTACACCAAGGTAACTGAAATCAAGGAATGAATTATGGAGTTAGTATGAAAAAGGAGGAATAACCTAACCTCCAAATAACCCTATAAAATGGGTAGGAAGCATGCTGAAAAATGAGCTAAAAAGAACAAGGACCAAGACATCCTGGAAGACAATTGTGGCTCTAAGGCAGCTCAGGCCCTAGCTCCTAGAAACCGGGTGATAACCAAGGGGACTCTGCTTTATAAAGCAAGATCTCACAGACACGGAGGTTAGCGAGCTGGTGCGAGGGAGGGACGGGCGGTTGGGATGAGTCAGGAGGCGCAGCACACGCACGTGCCACGAGGACGCCCCCGCGCGAGCACAGGGACCACAGTGACCTTGGCACCGTTAAGGTAACTACCGCAAGGGGAAAATGGCTTCCAGCTTTAAGAAGTCAAACGTGGCCCCTGTTAGCCTGAAAAAGAAGTTGAGTCCTAAGCCTGAACTCACTGAAGATCAGAAGCAAGAAGTCCGAGAAGCGTTTGACCTCTTCGATGCAGACGGAAGTGGGACCATCGACGTGAAGGAGCTGAAGGTGGCCTTAAGAGCGCTGGGCTTCGAACCTACGAAGGAAGAGATGAAGAAGATGATCTCTGACATAGACAAGGAAGGCACAGGGAAAATCAGCTTCAATGACTTCTTGGCCGTAATGACGCAGAAGATGGCTGAGAAGGATACCAAAGAAGAAATTTTGAAGGCTTTCAGGCTCTTTGATGATGATGAAACCGGGAAGATCTCTTTCAAAAACCTAAAGCGTGTGGCCAGTGAGTTGGGGGAAAACCTCACTGATGAGGAGCTACAGGAAATGATAGACGAAGCTGATCGGGATGGAGACGGTGAAGTGAACGAGGAAGAGTTTCTTCGGGTCATGAAAAAGACCAGCCTGTATTAAAGTCAGCTTTTCCAGGAGGATGTGTAGGGAAGTCGAGTGACTTGCTGGTTCCTGTCTCTGCTTTATAAAACCTTGTGTTGGAGGACAGTAGTTATTTTATCTGCTCCCCTACCCCAATTTGTCTAGAAACATCTATATTATCAATCTCTGGCCTCAAGAGTTTCAAAGATAATATTTTTAAAATTTTCTGTCCTTAAATCTAGCCTTCAATATCTAAAAATAGAGGTTTGATGAGTTTATGACAATCTTAAGTATTAAAGAACAAGGCATCCATCTTTTTAAGTTGCTTTTTCCTAATTTCTAATAAATTGTAAAATGAAAATGATTTCACAGATTTCTTTTTTATTATCTTACTCTCTCTCCCCACCTCCCACATTCAGGATTTGAGGAATGATAATTTTCATTTATCACTCCCTGATTTTGTTTTGCCAAAGAGTAAAAATAATATAAACATGCTTAATTACCCAGACTTAAATGCATAATTGTGGACTTTGCTACAGATATTATGGCATTAAAAAATAATATGCTATTTAATGAGGAGATGAGAGTAGATTCTAGCTGCTCTATCCTCAAGCTGAGGAATGATTTTCACTGAATTTCAAAATCCTACTCTTCCCAAAAAAGCATCAATATATGCCACGTTGGCACATTGATTATTTTAAGTTGGAGTTTGAGAAAAGTGAAGAATCAGGAAGGTCGTGCTCACCTTCCACCCGCCGTTGTCCCCTGAAACAGACCGCAACCCACTTGTGTGAGGTGCCTCCTCAGTATACTTAGAGGAAAGGAAGATCTTTGTCTCTGAAGACAAAGGGGCACTAAGAAGAATTCTAACAAACAGGTCTTGTTAAGTCTCCCCAAGTTCACAGCACTTCCTTATATTCCTTATCATATTCCTCCATAACTTTCTTTCTTTCTTTCTTTTTAAAGATTCATTCAATCCATTATTTATTTATTTATTTATTTATTTATCTATTTATTTATTTATACAAGCACTGGGTACAGTCAGAAGCGCGGGAGGGTGAGAGAATTCACCAGAGCCAGAGCGGGGAGCAGAGCAGGCAGACTGAAGTACACTGCTGAGGGGAGCAGCGGGCGCCATGCGGGACCCTCCTCTGGTGGCCTGGGAGCAGCCGGGGATCGAACCGGCGCTGCAGAGGCTGTGGGCAGCATCGCAACCCAGCGCTCAATCAACCGCTGCGCCACCGGGGAGGCCCCCTCCATGACTTTCCATTCTTCGTCAATTCCAACACAAAAAAAACTCGAATGTTTCTTTAGATTTTCATTTGTCTGTGAAGGCTCCTATGCTGCATGGGAGCTATATCTTTTGTTGCATAGGATGCTGCATAGGATCTATATGCATTTCCTATGCTGCATAGGATCTATATCTTTTTTCCTATTAATCTGTCTTTTTTAGTTTAATTTTCATTCCTAGCCAGAAATCCTAAGAAGGTTAAGGAAAATGTTTCCCTGATAGAAGCAAAGGCACAACATGGCTTTAAAAGAAAAAAAGCAATGGTACAGTAAGGACTTTAAAACAAAATAGCTCATAGATGGGTTAAATATCTCTTTAATAATTACAGAAGAATATCTTCTTCATTTTTTAAGGAACCTAACATTTTTCAAGGCATTGTAATAGATGCATTTGTTTCCCATTACATTTCCCCTTTAGCATAAATTCTATGGATGCATTTTCTTAATAACACTCATTATATTACCATATGTTGCTCGCATCTTTCTTCTTTTCCCCTAATGTGACACAGATTTGCTATTGTGAACATGTCATTTATTTGCTATATTCATTACATGTTTTAAACATAATACAGGTCCTTTGTTTGCTTGTGAGAACAGTGAATAGCCTAAAAATTAAAACATGATATGGTCAATTATACTACAAAATTGGGTTTATAGGTACCAAACTTGAGCTATACATTTTTACTATCCATATACATAGGGTTTCATAGAGGAGGAAGCAGTTCACTAAAACTGGTTGATAACTAAATGAAATTATTTAGTAATATTTTCATAATATGGGCAGAAAAGTATTAAAAACTAGACATTGTCATTATAACCCTCAAAAGCTGTATGTGTATAAAATAATTTACTGCAACATTTCAGGGAGAATATAATTGACAAAATAAAAAAAAATGATTTAATTTACAAATTGTATGCTTTTCCCTATTAATCTATTAATTAAAATGTTTTTCTATTTCAGTGTATAATGTAGAGCTGAATTTTTAAGTGCGTATATTTAGAATCTATATGTGTGTGTGTATATATACATGCACATATACAAATCTATAATGTGTACAAATATATATGTTAAACATCTTGCTATATAACAACTTCATCAAAATAAAACTTTCTTTAAAGAAAGAGGAAATACTTAACTTGCTATTAAATGAAGCACAGAGAATTAAAACTTTAAATGTCTAAATTATCCCTTCCACATTTAATTTAGGAAAAGCTAGGTGAGAATGGAGGATATATCAATAGACTAAACTAGACAAAAGGAAGGAGATGAGGACATTCCATGGGAACGTGAAGAGCTGAGGCAGAGCAGGGGGTGAAAGAAGAGACCTGCAAAAGAGGCACGGTCAGTTCTTTGCCTCTCCCTGTTTCTGGCCACACAACTTGCCTTAAGAAGCCCAGGCCTGCTAAGTCATCTCCCTCTGAAAGTCTTCTGCAGGTCACTTCTCTCTGGTGGGCTTGAAGATTTTGGTTTCAGTGTTGACCCACTCAGCTTCTGGATCACATCTCACTTACCACATTTTGTGGTCCATTCTTCTCATTCAGGAGACTTTCACATTATGAAAGATCTTATCCTTTTTGGTTTCCTCCTAAGGAAGCCTTTTTTACTTTTTAGTGAATATTCTGCAAAATTGGTGATTGCTAGAGTGTGCTTGTAGTTTGCTTTTATGAGAAACTGCTATTGTTGCTGCACAGGGCACCTGGATGCCTCGTAACATGCTTTAACATGCCATTCAGGAAGGAGAAAGGTTATTGTTATTTTAACTTTATGCTGATATTTTTTCTCTTTAATATTTAGAGTAAAACATTTCCCCTAAAATTGAATGCCTGCATGAAATATATCTATATAATGTCCACATATATACACACATATAACGATCTCTACATCAATCTATATCTCTGTCTATATAATTTTGCCTTTCTGCTCCTCAGGCAAAGATATAAATGCTAAAGTGATTGCTACCAAGCAATGGCTGGCCTGCTCTTTACATGGAACAACCTTCCCATCATGTGGACTGTTAGGGTATTGCTACTTAAGTTAAAGCCACAATATGTTTTCACTTCATCATTTCAACAATTCTATAAAACAAGTGTTATTATCTCCATTTTGTTGATAAGAAAATTGAGATTGCCCAATATCCCAGAGACCATAAATGACTAGTCTAAAATGGAACAGAGTGTCAATTTGGATAACGTATTTGTTGCCTCAGATCTTCTACATATAATTTAACAAGAAATAATGCCATCTGCATAAATACAAAATAATAATTTATGTTAATTCAGAATCAACTATGTGGCAGGTATGGCCTCCATCCTTTATATATTTATTCTTCATATTATTTTACCACTCTCAGAGTCTTTGTAATGATTAGGCTAACAGTTACCAAGTGTCAAATACATGCTATGAATTTAAGTCATTCTTTTTTAAAAATTTTGAGTAGACAGAGGTGTGGGAGGACGTAGGACAGAGGTGTGGGAGGGAGGAGGAGAGAGGGGTAGGAGGATTCACAGAGTCAGAGCAGGGAACAGAACAGACAGATAGACTGAAATACAGTGCTGAGGGGAACAGTGGGCGAGACAGGAGAGGTCTGCTGTACCATATGTGAGTTAGCTCCCTGGTCAGGGATCAAACTTGGGCCGTATTGGTGATAGCATGGAGACTTAACCATTAGGCCACAAGGGAGACCCTTAATCATTCTTGCTCCAGAGCTTGTATAGGTCTACTATCAAACACCAAGCCCATAGGAAATCAGCTAGGAAATATGAGCTCTTCTCATAGTAAAGTTCGTAAGATTCACCATAATGCATCTCTCTCTTACTAGCAGGCCCACCTCCCTAAGGGCAGATAAGAGACAGATGGGGAGATCTTAATGTTTCTCTCATACCATTCAGGTTGGCTTTTAGTATGCTTTTAGGAATTAATTAAGAATTAATGCTTCCCCCATTTGTCTGCTCTGAGAAAAAACACAAATGGCTTTTTTGGAGCGTGCAGATCTAAAGTACTTGTAAAGGAGTCTGGTTTTGATTGATTTAAGTAGAGAGGTTACCTGAAAGGGATGAATTCAATCACGTATCAAACAAAACTAACAAGAAGTATTCTTCTTGCCTTTATGCACTTATACTCATTAATTCAGCCATTATTCACTGAACATGGTGTATGGTGTGGAAGGCACAGTGTTGTTGTTTTTTTACCTTAAATTCTCACAGAAAGCCTATGACATGGAGAGTTGAAATTTTCTGGTACACAGGAAGAAGAGTACAGGGTACTTCCAGGAAGAAAGAATTGAGAGCTCCAGCCAGAGCAATGAGAAACACTTTGTGGGAGATCTGGGAGCTGCACAGATGCTTTGAGGTAGGGGGGTGGGAAGTGTTGTAACAGGAGAAGAAGGCTAAGGGAGTGGCAAGTCCACTCAGGGGAGCTGCCCCTTGCAAGGCATGATATTCATCCAGGAACAACAAATGGTGTCATGAAGGCTGTGGCTAAAACAACAGGCTATAATGAGACTGTGAGGGACTTTTATTATTATGCTAAGGAATTGAAGCATTGTCTGTAGGCTAGAGCTTCTCAAAATGAGATCTCCAGCCCAACAGCATCTCTAGCATCTTGGGCCCTACCCCAAACTTACCGAATCAGCATCTGTGGGCGGGGCGGTTAGCAATCTGTAGTTTAACAGATGCTCAGGTGATACTGACACACACCAATGGCTGAGAAGCGGTGCTGTACCAGTCCTTCTAAATTACTTTCTGTGCTGTGAATGTGCGGTAGAAGTCCTGGATATTGTTTGCCACAGTTTTTATGGTGTGTGGGCAGGCCGCGGGGAAGCTAGGGCTGCTGGGATGGCTGCTGCTAGTGTCCACAGCCACCCCACCCCAACAACCCCCACCTTCTACCCTGGGGTCCCAAGCTTCTAGATCTGCAAAGGAAGCACTGTGGGAAAAAGACGTGGGCCCCTGGGTTGAATCTGCCATGTGGCCTTCATTTAAAAGCTAAGAATAGCTTTTACATTCTTAAAAGTATTATGTAAGAAGGAAAGAGGAAGAAAAAAAATGAGGAAGGAGGGGGAGGAAGACAAGGG